TAAACAAATAGATAGGTGAAGTAATTCAAACAAAATGATTTTGAACTTTATTACTCTACTCTGTCGAATGCCTACTCTACTCGTAAAGGGGAGAGCCCAGGTGCTTAATGGGTTAAATAAGATCGTATAGTTATATATATATCATGTATTATGTTTTTATGCAGTCTCCCTGAATCACTTGTACCAGGCTATGGAAATTCATGTTTCCAATTTTGTATATTTATTTTTCTTATGATACAGTATACTGTAAATTTGAATAATATTTGTGTGCTTATATTGAGCTTATTTTTAGGAGAGTTTGTTGCGTGGCAGGATATATTTTGATATTTCAAAATATTACTGTATATTGGTATGTTATACTTGCCGGTAATGCTTTTGGAAGGGTTATAGGTGTCGGGTGTGATATACTTTTCCAGGTATTTTGTGTCTGATGTATGTAAGAGCTTTATTGGGTTTCTTGGTGAGACCTTATCTTATGTGTCCCATAACCCTCTGTAATTGCGGATTATTGCATACATTCTAATTGTATTTTTTTTGTAGGAGTCCGAAGATGCAAATGATACAATTTCAAACTTATCACAACCCATATTGTGGCCGCTGGCAGCGAACTAGAATACGACTAGAAACTGTCAATCATACGTTATCGAGGGGAAGGATGAAAGTTCCATAACAAGCAACAGTTGTTTTGATGCAATTATCGCCTTATTGGCAAGTTTTTACATCTTCAATATTGAGTACTGCCACACGAAGAGCATCTTGTCTGCCTTGCAGACTATAGTAGTGCATGGGCAACACAGAAAATGGCATACAACTGCCAATAGTGAGTTTAAGCAAGTGACGTTTTTGACAACACAGACGTCGACCGGAGGGAAAGTTGACGTTTTTCACCAATCACAGTCCTTGACCCAGTCTTCTGACGTTGCTCATGCCGTCAGTGTTGTCAAAAACGTCACTTGCTTAAGCTCACTAATGAGGGTCACAGCCCTCTTCAATGACTTGTCATGACTCATGAATATTAGTACTACAGTAATTTTACACTTTTTGAGAGTTATGTTGACATATGCTAACCCAAGTTAATGTTATTGATGGAATGTGTGTATTGTCTCACATCTCACCGAACTGTGGTAATGTATTAAAAATTATTCGTATTGCGTTCACGTTAACAACCGCGCCTGCTATTGCTATCACAAGTTGATTGCTCTTTAAAATTAGAATTGTAAACTTTCGGAGCCATATGGCATATATGTACGAATCTTTTGATGGTTCCCATATTTCGGTGAGATACATAATACTGACTACTGTGCATGTATATTGTAATTTTAGTTATAGTATTGTGTTTATAATACAGAAATTGGAACATTATTTATCTCAACTTATATTACAATAATTAATTCCAATCTTGGTCTGTTGAAGAAATTGTAATAAGACCAAATAAACCCCATTATTTTTGCCTGATTCATTATATACATGTAGAATACGTCTACATGCAAGAGTGCAACCAAATCATGCATATGGCTTTAAATGCTATATAAAACGGCACCACCAAAAAGCTATATCAGCTCAATCGGTTCTAAAGCACCTCTTAATTGGGCTGAGACAGCTCTCCTCTGAAAGGGCCAGAACAGCTCCGGTTAACAAAGTAGGGGTTAAATTGGCTTTTCTTTTGGATCTATAATGGCTCTGAAATTGGACCAAATTGACCCTTTGGGTACTACAAACTACACCATGAAAAAAGCTATATTAGCTCCTTCGGCTCTAAAGCAGCTCTTCTTTGGGGCTGAAACTATGCTCTTCTGGGAGGGCCAAAATAGCTCTGGTTAAAAAAGTAGGGGTTAAATTGGCCTTTCTTGTGGTCTATAATGGCTCAGAAATAGAACCATATTGGCCCTTTGGGTGCTAAAAAACTACACCATTAGAAAAGCTTTATCGGCTCCTTCGGTTCTAAAGCAGCTCTTCATTGGGGCTGAAACTCAGTAGCCAAAACAGCTCCGCTTAGCGAGCCAAATCAACGCTTTTGGAGGTTCATTATGATCACAAATGGGAGCCAAATTAACTGCTTGAAATGCCAAAATAGCCCCCTAATTTTCTGAATTGGCCCCTATTGAAAGTTGAAATAGCCCCTGCTTTTGCCAAAACAGCTCCTACTAAAAGCTGAAACAACCCTTACGCTGGAAGGGCCAAATCACCCCTTAGGGGCTGCATTGTTATAGGTGCCATTTTGACCCCAAAAAAGATCTATTTTGCGGTCACCGTTTTGGCCCCATTTTTGGGGTCGTTTCAGCCCTTTTTAATTTACAGTGTATCCACCGTTTAAGCTAAACGGACTTGATACAACCGGCCCCAGTAAACAATTTTTGGGAATTTTTTCATTGTGTTTTTAATCCTGTAGAGGCCAGAAAAAGCGAACAACTTGCCGTTTTCTCGTTCGCAAAAATCGGAAATTCAGTTTGAGCCGCCATTTTGTTTTTCTCTACTAGTAGGATATGAGCTAATATCCTGCTAGTAGAGAACCAATCAGATTGCAGAATACCTCATATCCAGACATTGTGTATATAATAAATATATATATATATATATATTCCGCACAAAAACGTGCGAAAAACCGGTCGTTATTGTAGTATACTAGTTTATACTTTCGTTGTGGGGACAAAATTTCGAAATACACAATGAAGTCGTCGTAAATCGAAATCACAACAAGAAAAAAGCCGTTAAATTCGACAGTATGGCGTTCTGAATTTGGCTTTTCAAGCAAAGTAGGTCAGGGAAAATTAACCATGCAGGTTTCGCTTGCTTTCCCGTTTTCTGGAATACGGGGCGTGGGGATACGACGCGACGGTTATAGGGTTGGGATTCAGGTCAAGATCAAAGAGAAACATCTTCGTGTGTCTAATATGGGGATATTATTACCAACTTTACCTTTAATAAATTTAGTTACTTAAAAGCAAGACAGTAATGAGTATCTAAGCAGTACATGTACGTCCTAATAATTATTTGAACTTGGCATATACTCGGGAGGTAGATACTATAGTTCTTTTCACGCAATTTGATTGGTTGCTCAGCTCTGGATATCCTTGTACTATTTACCTCCGGACAAAAACAAAATGGTTTCCGTTGCGTTCCAGTTACAGCTAGACGAGCAATCTTTTGTACTAAAGGAAGCTACGCGGTTTTGTTTAACAGTGCGTTGGGGTATTCTTTAAAGCTATTTTTTAACAGTTCTTGTGTCGGTAGCTTGCACTAACTTGGTGAATAATTGTTAAATATCTGAATTTTTTGGTTGTTTAGAATTACCTGATGAAGTTTAGTGCATCCTGGATTCTGGTCCAGTAAAGCCTTGCCGTTTACTCGATTCATCAGGCATCACTGCCGGATCCAATTGTAAAGAAACAAAGCCAAAGGATATATCCACACATGCATGGCCATGGAATTGCTCGATTATACAAGACTGCTTGAACACACTGCAATGCCACTGGTCATTTAAGCCCAATGATTCATACTGGATTCAATATCAAAATGTTGGATTAATAATTCCTTCCCATGAGTAATGCTGCAGCAACACACTAATATAACTTTACTTACAAGCTAGAAAAGGTTATGTCACACTGGACATAAAAGCATGTTAACTATAATTAGCCATGCCAGGTAACTCTTACTGCAAATTCGTATTGTTAGTTGCAAGTAATATTGCTCCACGCACACCCCTAGTAGTCAAGTTGAATCAGTATAAATGATATTCTTCTGATCACTTTTATAGGTGAAATAGTTTTTTCAAATTATTTTTTTGTTTCCGGTTATTGTTTGGTTTTTGGTTTAAAAGTAATAAAAATGTAATTTAATGAAAATCTGCTGATATTTTATGTAAGTATGTAAATTATTGAATTCATGCATTTGTTATTATTGGTGTGAAAAATGTATAGCATCAAAGGGCACATACCGGTACACAGTATAGGCTCATCTGCTAATTTGTGCGCGGGATGAAGCCCCATACACACGAGAAAGTGTTCTTTGACGAACTCCTTGACGAGTTTACCTATATTCTTGTGTATGACGAACAAGTTTTTCCCTATAAGGCGTATTCCGACCACAGCTATACCACGCCCGTTTTCTTCAATGGCTTAACTCGAAGAGAAAAAGACAATTTGGACCATTTCCAAGTCCGTCAAGAAATTTGATCTTCCGACCATGTAAAAGAGTGACTCACAGCGGCACACTCCATTTCCCATGTGCATAACTCGAAAGGTCCAAATTGTGTTCAGATTCTTCGGGTTAAACCCTTGAAGGAAATAGGACTGTCATGGGTGTGGTGATAGGGCATGATCAGGCTTACCTCGCAGAGGGCTTTTAACTCATAACATATATTAAATACCAGTGCCAAAGATCATGTTTTTTTTTCACTCGAAGTCGTATATATATTGACCTGTCCCTAATTTAAATAGGATGTAAATTATTATGGATAATTTGACACAATACAATAACTGCTAATCGCCGAGCCAGGACCAGCCGGCGGCACTTTGCCTGGCGGCTATATTCACCTCGGAAAAGGAAAGCATTAGTGAATTCTAAAGTTCATCAATAATCGCGGACGCGTGGCTATGCTTCATCGTGCGTGGGTGGTCATTCACAGTGACTTAAAAAATATGGCTGTTTTGTCAGGAGTGCATGGGATAAGCGAGATTTCGATTTTCAAAATCATATATATTTGGAAAATCGTTTCATACAATCATAGACAGCACACTAAACGACTGAATTTAAATTAAAACTGCAGTGAAAATATTAAATTAACGAAAATCATCACAAATAAGCGAAATATATTGCTAAGTGTAGCTTATATTAAATCGCCACCCGACTGCACTATCGGCCAACTGACTTTTGAATAATAGCAGTATCGTAAAGAATTTTGAAAGTTCCCTATTATTAAGATCATTTTTCTTTACAGTAAGTGTTAAGAGGGTCTTAATGGGGGTCTTTGGGTGTCAGTTGTCAGCTAAAATTTAAGCCAGTTGTCAGTTGTCAGTGCGATATATTGCAAGTTGTCAGTAGTCAGTTACTGCAAAAAAGCTGACTCATCATTTTTTCATCATTTCTCAGTTGTCAGTTAGGATATTTTGTCAGTTGTCAGTCAAAAATTCAGGCAAATGTCTGTAGTCAGTTAACCCCATTCAGACCCTCTGTTAAGTTCTGAGTCCATATCAGTCTGGTTTTCGAAAAGGTCACTCAACCACAACGGCTCATTTAGAAAATACGGATTCATGGCTACTGAATATGGATGCTGGGTTGATAAACGGTGTCCTTTTCCTTGATCTATGCAAAGCATTTGACACAGTTGATCATAAAATTGTTATTAAAAATATATTTATTTATGGAATTCGAAACAAAGCCCTAGACTGGTTTAAATCGTATTTGCACAATAGAAAAGAATTCTGCGTGGTCAATATAATGCAACATCGTACACACAGAAAGTAAGTTGTGGAGTTCCACAAGGATCAAATCTTGGTCCTCTTCTATTTTTGTTATATGTGAACGATCTCCCAAACTGTATGGAGAACTCACATTCAGCAATGTATACTGACGATACAAATATTACAGTGCGTTCATCTAGTTTAATTCATGTGGAAGAGGCCTTAAATAGTAAATTGGAAAATATTCATCACTGCTGGCTTCTTTCAAACAAATTAACCTTAAATATAGAAAAAACAGAATATATGATCATTGGAACACGTCAAAGGTTGAATAATCTTTCTCAAGACATTAATTAATGTTTCTATCGATGGGAAAGTATTAAAAGAGGTTGAAACCAAAAATACCTTAGGCATGTTGGTTGACGAACATCTATGCTGAGATAAGCAGATTGACAACATTAGTAAAAAAGCTTCAAAGGGCATTGGCATGTTGCGTCGTGTAAAACTCTATGTTCCAACTATATCCAATACTGCTCGTGCCACGCACTCGTACTACGTGCTAGGTACATTATATTTTATAAATGTTTCGCCAAACACGCGTGTGATTTTTCATGAATACTTCTCGAACCGTGTAATTTCCTATACCAGTAGTTTTTTTGCGGCAATAGATAGATGTGGTACGAGGTTTCACAAACCAAAACTTACATTATACTATCGCCACAAGCAAAATTTACAAGACAAATCATACACAACCATTATACCGCCTCTGCCATCATCACAACCTCCAGCACTGCCGCCATGCCCACAACCTTTAACACTTTAATGATCTGTGTCACCACTACACTAACACAACCGCCCTCACGAAATACATTTTTTTTTTGGAACACCTCTTCAATATTTGCTGTGTTGGTGTAATGTACTCAGGTGAATAAGATACTTGTGTGATGTAACTCTGTGTGTAACCAATTTTTTTTCCAAATCGGTAGTCAGCATCAACTAATATCA